TTGTTCCCTCCAACAAGTAAAACAGTAGTTGAGAGAAGCAGTGTATCCCTTACGTGTTACTTGGAAGGCAAACCAGTATCTAATGTAACCTGGTTAAAAGAAGGTCACCCAATCATAGCCGCTAATGACAACAGAATATCTGTATCTCCACCCTCCTCAGTCGGTAATACAACTGCTACGATCATTATCACCAATGTGAACCGTACTGACGAGGGCTACTATTCCTGTCAGGCTGTGAATGATGTCGGTAATGATACATCATCTGGAGCATTGCTGACAGTCAACTGTAAGTACTTATTAAGGAAAACTTGCATTTTTATATTCTATCTACCTAAATCTTCGTTCTTTTGATATTGTTTTCTTTTAGACCCTCCAAAGATTTTGTTCCCACCAACAACTAAAACAGTAGTTGAGAGTAGCAATGTATCCCTTACGTGTTGCTTGGAAGACAAACCAGTATCTAGCGTAACCTGGTTAAAAGATGGTCAGCCAATCATAGTCGCTAAAGACAACAGAATATCTGTAACGCTACCCTCCTCATTCAATAAATCAAGATCTACGATGACTATCACTAAAGCGAACCGTACGGACGAGGGCTACTATTCCTGTCAGGCTGTGAATGATGTCGGAAATGATACCTCATCTGGAGCATTGCTGACAGTCAACTGTAAGTAACAAGCAGCCATCCCTATTTTGATGTGTAAAACAGGTTCTAGACATGTTGAACATTATTATTTCAGACGGCGTCACCATATTCGTGAATCCAAGACCCAAGTCCAAGATTGAAGGAGAATCTGTCACATTTACATGTGAAGTGGAAGGCAAACCTGCTCCAAATGTAACCTGGCTTATAAACGACAACCCATTGACTCTAGAGACGAGTAGGATGAACGTCACTCAACCCACTACACACAACAGGACGGTTGTTTATCTGACGATCAATGGCTTGAAGAGAACAGATGAGGGTAGTTACAGATGTAACGTGAAAAACAGTTATGGTGAAAAGAATTCAACTGCTGCAGCATTGACGGTCAATTGTAAGTGTATATCTTAATGAAAGTTCTTAAACTGAATGGTCCCCTAATGGTGTTTTGCTTTCTGGGAGTCAATCAGTGAGTGGTTAACAAACGTGTACCGCCACATTTATTCACAATACCTTTGATTTGATCTTAAGAAGTCCTATACGTTACTCCTCGTGCTAAACCTTTTAAACTTTTCTTTAATCACGATGGTGTCAACGTTTATTTCTATTCAATAACCATCAAATAATTTTTTTTTCCTTCAGATCCTCCAAAGATATTGGTTCCTTCAACAAATAAAACAGTAGTTGAAAGAAGCAGTGTATCCCTTACGTGTTACTTGGAAGGCAAACCAGTATCTAAAGTAACCTGGTTGAAAGATGGTCACCCAATCATAGCCGCTAATGACAACAGAATATCTGTAACGCTACCATCCTCAGTCAATAAAAGAAGAGCTACAATTACTATCACTAATGTGAAACGTACTGACGAGGGCTACTATTCTTGTCAGGCTGTGAATGATGTCGGTAATGATACCTCATCTGGAGCATTGCTGACAGTCAACTGTAAGTAACAAGCAAGTATCCCTATTTTGATGTGTAAAAGTGGTCCTAGACATGTTCAACATTATTCTTGCAGACGGCGTAACCATATTCGTGAATCCACAACCCGAGAAAAGGATTGAAGGAGAATCGGTCACATTTACATGTGAAGTGGAAGGCAAACCTGCTCCTAATGTAACCTGGCTTGTAAACGATATCCCATTGACTATAGAGACGAGTAGGATGAACGTCACTCAACCCACTACACACAACAGGACGGCTGTTTATCTGACGATCAATGGCTTGAAGAGAACAGATGAGGGTAGTTACAATTGCAAGGTTAACAACTTCGTTGATGAACGGACGTCAACGCCTGCTTTTTTAGCAGTGTACTGTAAGTTATTATCGTATTACACATTTTTCATCGTTGAACTACCGTGCCCCATATTGGACTGTAAGCAGTCCCTCTATTTCTCTTGGTCACTGTTCACTTACAAATATTTTTGCACCATCTTTTGAATCATCGTAGATCCACCAGTTATCTTTCAAAATCCACTAAACTTGACGAAGAGGGAAGGAGATTCAATGGTGATGTTGTGTGGGATAGACGGGAACCCTGTGCCTGAAGTCACGTGGAAGAAAGGAGAAGGGACGATAGTGCATGATGGGAGAATAAATATCACTAAGCCGAGTAGCGTGGGGCGAGTGTACTCTACGTTGACCATCAGTAATCTTGTTGTGGGTGATAAGGGCACGTACAAGTGTATGGTGAACAATACACTGAATGCAGCGGTGTCGTTCCCTGGACGCTTAACTATTATCTGTAAGTAAACATCTAGAGCGTCTGTTTGGACGAATAGATGATTATTCTAACATTTTTTTACTTTTTTCTTGGTTAGCATTAGACCTATGGTTCGTAAACCCTGAAACCAACTTCACGGTAACTGTAGGACAAAATGTAACCCTTGTCTGTGAGGTGTGGGGCGTGTCACCTGACATTACCTGGTACCGAGACGGGAAGAGCATGGAAGCGACTCGTATTAGGGCTATTCCTAGCGGTAAAAGAACAGAAGCAGAACTGACATTCAACAATGTACAGGCGGAGAATTCAGGCGTTTACACGTGTACTGCAAGTAATAGCATAAGATCTATTAGTACACAGATGACTCTTGTTGTAAGCGGTAAGGAAACTGTTGTGTTATTGTCCGATGTTGCTTCTTGCACCTAAAACACCAACATGACAAAGCGTACACACGTACGATAAAATTTCGCGAAACATAAAGTGTGCATGAGATTAAGCGCAYAACAGAAAATAAGAACAAAAAATACCGCGCTGAGTACGCACGAAATTGGGCACGAAATTTTGCGCGAAACACAAGAGGCTCATAGGCAGTTTTCAGGCAACAAAAAGCGYGTACCAACATTTCTATCGATAACGTTTGGACGTTTGATGGTTCGCATATATTTTTCAAAAAATAAATAGATTATTCAACTCCTACTTATTTTGCTTTGTAATAGTGTAATATTTATATTATAGTACCCATYGAAGTCGATATGGATATCACAGTAGAAAACATGGAGTTTTCAGCAGAACTCAACAACAAGTCTTCACCACGGTTCCAGAACTTGTCAAACACTTTCAAGAAAGAGGTTTGTTTGTTTGRTCAGCATTGTACCAAATCAATCTTTAAAATCGTACAACTTATATTTCGTCCTCTAAAGCAAACGAATAAAATCGTAGGTTTGTTTTACACGATGTAATTGATGTGGGTAAATAATGGCGTAGCTGATGGCATGTGACAGTTGTACTTCTACATCGTACCATGTAAATCATGSTTTATATCATGATATATACATTACACCGTGGAGGAGAAACTAATAGTAATCGATTAGAAGTATCTCGTACAGATGGGTGCATTTTAAGGATGAAGCAATGATTTAWAAGTTAATGGGCAGCAAACCAACTATTCTTTTTTAGATCTCAACTATTTATAAAGACATGRAGGGATTCAAAGAAGTACAAGTACTTGGATTCTCGTGAGTATTGATCGTRTTATCATTATYCTTWATCTCATAACTAATCCACGGTCATTCATCTTTTGTTCCACAACACTCAGAAATGGCAGCGTTCAAGTAGTTTTTCGTGTTATATTTGAAATAAAAGTCAATAAACCAATTGAAAAGCCGCCAACTGATGTCAGACAGAAAGTAGCCAATACCGCAATCGAGGAGATTTCCAAGACGAATGGTTTCATTGGGACTTTGAAGTTCAAACCCGGTTCTCTTACTCCTTTGGGTGAGTCGAATCCTACTGATAACTTCTATTYTGCCTGAATTAGACATGAGGTAACCACCATGTTCCGCATTTGAGTCTTTGATACATACTCAGGTGGTTATTCAGTAAGAGCATATGTTTCTGAATAATCTGAATGAAAATCTGATTATAATGCGTTTTTTTAACGGTTCTCTAGTTCCACCTCCACCWCCTCAAAATCTAACAAAGACGGAGGTCAAACTTGAACAGATTTCTATTACTTGGAATAAACCTGAATACCATCAAACGTACGGTGTTACGGGCTACGAAGTACAATACAAAGAGTTCGCCGGTGAAGAATGGAATAATATCCCTGTACAGGGTAAAGATGTGAATGACTATGTAATCAACGATCTGAAACAAGAGACAAAATATTTAATGAAAATAGTTGCAGTTAACAAACGAGGTAACGGTCCCCCGAGCAACCAATTAGAAGTGAGAACCGATAGACAGAGCTTTTGGACAGAATACAAGTGGGTGATAGTAGCTGTTGGTATTGTCCTGTTTCTTCTTGTCCTCACGGGGATATTCCTGTGTTGTCGCCGGAGACGAAGACAAAAAACAAAAGTGATGAAGCAACAGATCACGAGGAGCAACGTACGTAATACTTGTATATACTTAATCTTGAGGGTCCTGAAAGGGCAAAATTGTAGCTGGCATCTAATACACTGGAATTTAGCCATTACGAATGGCAAATAGAGTCAGAAGTTACGTCTTCCGGTCGTCAAGTCTCCTTTTTAGTTCCCGCGAGTCTTTTGGTCAGCGGTCTTGATGTACATTGTCAACGTGGCCGGAATAGCATTATGCAAAAATTTTGTGCTGCGAAATGGGATTAGCACACACCTTCAGGGGCCCCTATGTTGTTTACTATAAGTTATAGCAGATACCTACCAATAGGTGACGTGATTCTTGTTGTGGCGAATAAACCATTATTATGCTCTTTCAGCGAGATAAATTCGACATACCTGGTCAGAGCTTCATGAACAGCGGATTTGAGATGGCTCAGCTCGCATCGAAGTTTAGAGAGATACCACGTGAACAGATMATGATCGGAAAAGAACTGGGATCTGGTCAGTTTGGCCTGGTGACTAGAGGATACCTTAAATATGATGAAAAGCACTGCGCTATAAAGATGCTCAAAGGTATTGAACAAAGAATTATATATCGAAACAGTTATATATGGAATGACGTCTCACTGTTGTGTATGTTACCATACTTTGCCTCAGACTCATTGATAGTCAGTGAATGTTTTGTTTGCCGCTTGACGACTAGTAAATATTCACTTATGTTCACTTCTTTGTTTTCCCCCAGAAAATGCCTCTAATACAGATTACATGGATTTGATGAACGAACTGGATATAATGAGTTCAATAGAGGAACATCCCAACATCATTCATCTCATTGGTGCCTGCACACGAGGAGGTAAATATCAATAATACAACGCAATACCCGTGGCTAGTGTATGATCACTTACTCTCTAATTGGTCAAGAGGTCAGTGTTCACACATAGGGTTGGAACGGTTTATCGCGCGCTCTGTGATTGGTTGTGAAGTGGCCACGTAGTCTAATAGCTAATTCCACGCTCTATGATTCTGYGTGTAACAGGTCCAGTGTGGTTGGTCGTTGAACTCGCAGAGTATGGCAGTCTGTTGGATTTTCTTCGTAACAACCAGATGTACTCGATCAGCCATCGAGAAAAGGTGTCAATTTTAACTGAATCACAAAAGATCAGGATTAGCCGTGATGTGGCTAGAGGACTGGAACACTTGGCAGGTTATAGGGTAAGTACTAAACTGTGGCCCTCATTCCAACGATCGGTTTGGATTTTGGAAGTGTTAATTTTTTCTGGAAGCACGACAGTCGCGCGACGGAACTGCTAATGGTTTTGGGAGTCCAATAATCCAAATAACAATACGTTTCTAATCGTTTAGTATTCATGTGTTTGTAGTGCGTTCATCGGGATCTGGCGGCAAGGAATGTACTGCTTGGCACCAACATGACTGCTAAGTTGTCAGACTTTGGACTGGCAAGAGATGTGTATGAAAGAGGACACTATCAGCAGTTATCAAACATGGTATTGTATGATTCTAGTGCAAAACACCCACCAGAAAACACAAGAAAATAAKCCAGTGTCTCACTGACTTTTTTCTGGCTTTGATTTACAGTTACAGTTTAGATGGTTTCATAATGCGCCTGCGCGGAACTGACCACTAACGATATCCAATAAGAGCTCAATGAAAAAATATCTTTGACATATWTCACGAATATCGTTTTTCCTATCTTCTGCGTTCTTYTGTAGAAAAAGTTACCAGTGCGATGGATGTCAATCGAAGCTATCGAGACGATGGTGGCTACTAAGGAGAGTGACATGTAAGTCTTGGCCGTTTGAAATGTTCTTATTCCAGTTCTACTAATCAGTCAAAGTTGTTCCTAGCTTGTAGTTTTTCTTTATTTGTAGCTGATTTGTTGTATAATCTTTATGATTATGTTTTCTCAGATGGTCGTTTGGAGTTTTGATGTGGGAAATCTATACTGGAGGTGTGTATTCCTATATTTATATTTTACAAGATGCATCGAAAGATATGCACTCTCTAGGATACCAATGGATGATAAAAATTAACTAAAAGAACYCGTGTTAGTGAAAGATAGCTCATCTTATATTTTTCTCACTGTTATCAGGTAAGCTGCCATATCTTGRGTTATCAGCAAAAGAAGTTCTTAAGACACTTAAGAAAGGAACAAGACTAAGCCAGCCRGTCGACTGCTCAGATGAAATGTAAGCAATGAATATAATGATATGATATGCAATCTCGTACCCAGAGCCTGCGTTTCTTCTGGCCTGCGGCGAAGAACGAGGGCTCTGGCATAATCCATATTTTGGCGCATGCGCAATTTTCGRAAAGTCAAAATCAAAGTAAAAATTGAAAATCGGGGGAAAAAATATTTTTAATTTTTGACAAGTCTTTGAACGCGTGCGCCGTTATRCCGRAAGTCTAAGAAAACCTTGTCTCCAAAAATGGATTATGCCAGAGCCCTCGTTCTTCGCCGCAGGCCAGAARAAACGCAGRCTCTGGGTACGAGATCGTATAATATGATAAAAGGTGATGTTATAATCAAGCGTGTCGTCTATTAATGTGCGCGATACAAATTTGTGCATTTCTATTCAATCAAACTTGATTGTGTGCAACAATACTGCTGCTGATGGACGAATTCATCAATGTTTGSCTTTTTTCTTGAAGATATGCTATAATGATGAGTTGCTGGCTTTCCAGTCCTCTCAAACGTCCATCTATTGACCTCCTCGCCACAGTGCTGGACAGACAGCTGCAATTGAGACGAAACGACGAAAACAACCTGGACAGTTCTATGGCTTAGTCCAATAAGGTGTCGTCATGTTGGAGTCTGTTTTTACGACTTCCTTAATCAAATATCATATACTACAGATGCGTATGATGATTAGAAAGAAAAGAGAACTTTCCATGTTTAATTGAATGCACAACTTAGATGTCCTCTAGTGTTTGATATACTTTAATGTAGTCTGACGTCATCTTGATGACATCATGTTGGAAACTATTTATAGTACAGTTTTTATATTAGCTACATAGTTTATTTTTCATATTTACATATTTCTATAGAATTATATAACTATTAAGGACGGACAAGTTTCTGTATAACTATAAACAGCTTTATGGCTGATATTTCTCAATATAGAGWAGAGAGTAGGGCTGTTAGTAGAAATTTTGATGTGGGGGAAGGGAGAAGAGATATGCCATGTCACCAGATATTAATATCKTAATCAATAAGTAAACTGAAATGGAAATGAAGCTATTGCAATTATTGCAATTCTAATAGAATAGTATTATCGTTAATATAAATATAAATAGATAACAATAGAAGACTATGACGTTCCTAGCAGTATTAAACTATTGTGTATTGTGTCTTCCGACGGTCGCTATTACTGCATATATTTCGATTCACTCTGACGTTCCTAGCAGTATTAAACTATTGTGGAAAAGTACTTCGAAGGGTCCTCCCCTTCTTCAGTTATCGATTTCACTACTTAAAAGATGATTAACGGTCGCTATTACTGCACATATTTCGATTCACTCTGACGTTCCTAGCAGTATTAAAGTATTGTGGAAAAGTACTTCGAAAAAAGAGTCCTCCCGTTCTTCACCGTTATCGATTTCTCTACTTAAAAGATGATTAACGGTCGCTATTACTGCATATATTTCGATTCACGGGTTACCTAGAAGCAACGRAGTATTAAGTTCACTTTTCTTCTAGGCTTGACGTCTTGGCCGCGATTCACAACATTATGTATTTGGACGGTAACTTGTAGGCCTTGCACATGTGATAGATTATATACTTTAATCCTTTGTATTGATTTCTTGGACACTCTTTTGCATTCTTCTAGTTTTTCTCAGTTTTTCAGTCATTCTTCGACTYATTTTCCTCTGTCGTCGTTTATCTTTCTCCCACGTGAGGAGGTGCTTGCTGATTTTCTTGCCGTATCKTAACCATTCGTTTACACGTGACACGTATCTACCAATCAGGAAAATACTTTAGCACAGAATTATTTGGCATTAGTTTTAATTGATGTTTTGGCCAGCGGTCAAGCGGAGATATAAATGCGCACGCAAAAGATCCTTTAGTGCCATATAAATCTCAGCAGAATACGTTGAAATTAATATGAGAATATYTCGTACTGTAAAAACTCACGACCGTGCCGTGCCGTGCATTACCGTGACCGTGACGGTGTCGTGAGCATTTTTTATTGGCTGATCAGTGATCCCGTGCGCTKTGATTGGTTTAAAGGATGTTGTCAATTCCGTAAAAAAACAAATGAAAAATGTCTACCAGAACATTGGTGTCAAGTCATACCTGTATTGATTCCAGGCAGGCCTCACAATAACTCGATCCAGTCCCCAGGACTGGAATATCCCGTGATGCCACACGGTAATCCTTTTTAGTTTTCCAAGGTTGAATGGACAAGTAAAAAGATAGGTTATCTCGGCACAGCCTGGGATGTATCTGTATGTGTAGGAAGAAAAAAGACCTTTCAACGTTTATTGGTGCATAAGGGTCTGGGACGGAGTACAAAACTTACTTCATTGACTTGGTGGTGTACGATCTGCCATCGGTTCCTTTGAGCTTCACAAACACAGGTCCATAAACACCAGCAAACCAGGAATCCAGGGTTTTGAAGGATATTTGATAATGGTACACTGATGAGGGGGAAAACGAAAAAAGTTATGCATTGAAATGTTCCAAAAACCAGAATGTGGGAAAAGGAAAGACTTTCACCAATAACAATATCTTGTTGGAAAATTGAAATCAAAATTATATTTTAGACCAGAACTTAGTTTCAGATACGCCAAATTGAAATATGGCGACCAATTTGAATAACTATTGTTCTGGACTGACTAGCATCGTGTCCACGCGAAAAGAAAAGCGTTCTCACATGTATGAGAGGCTACCCACTCAAGAACAATAGTAATTCAAATTGGTCGCCATATTTCGATTCGGTGCATATCGACCTCGTTTGTCAAAAGTTAAATATCCGCTTACAGCAATATGGAGATTGAGGTTTAGTCGTAAGGTAGAAGTTGCCTTGTATTGTTCCATTCTTGTTCTGTTCATAAGCATGGTATCCCATCTTGATACACGGCCCCTCACATGTTAGACATTTACCACTATTGAATTCACTCTCCAGTCGACAGTCATAGGCATGAAGTGGACACTGGGATAAGATGGAACTGGTGAAATAGGCAGGAGCCTTTTTGTGATTGCAGAACAGATACGTGGATAATCCTGAAGAAAAAAAACAGAAGCACAAGGATTCGCTTCGTTAAATTTTTGTCTCTGATGTGTTGTCATGGAAACCAAATGCCTTACCTGCTAAAATGGTGTTACATCCGGGTTGCTTTTTCCCGCCATTAGGAAAAAAGTCCACGTGACCAATGCCACTAGTGATTCCATATTCACCGCTGGTGTGAATGACATCAACAAAGAAAGCGTCGCTTGTGTCGAGCCTGACGTCCTCGTGTTGGCCGTGAAACCACATGGCTGCTGGGTCCAGACCTGATAAGGAATTGAACAAAATCCACTATATTGATAAGCCGAATAGAGGTACGCGCAATCTCTTTGTCTTAATTTAAATATTAAAGTAATCTCGTTAAAAAAATCAATAATCTAGAACTTGAAGAAAATGAAGACGGACGAAAAATGTAAGTGTTATTGATTTAGTAGCCGAAGTGCTATTGATTTAGTAGCCGAAGTGCTATTGATTTAGTAGCCGAAGTGCTATTGATTTAGTAGCCGAAGTGCTATTGATTTAGTGGCCAATGTACTAGTGCCAGATCTATTACCGATCTACTGTTGATTTATTACCGATCTACTATTGATTTATCACCGATCTACTATTGATTTATCACCGATCTGCTATTGATTTATTACCGATCTACTATTGATTTTTTACCGATCTACTATTGCTTTGTTACCGATCTACACTATTGATGTATTAGCGTATTATTGTACGTATGAGCAGCTAGTACCTGTTATTCTGTTGATCAATCGTCCCTTACGTTTCATCTGCTGACCAATGTACCCAGCGACATGCGCACCAAAACTGAACCCGATGATGTGAATAAACGGCAAGCGACGTCCATAGAGCTCTTCTAATGTCTCTAGGTAATGCGCGCCTTGAGAACCAACAAGCCTAGTGTTTGCCACAGCCCGAGTAAACGGAAACCARGCCCCGCGCATCCAGTCCAAGATGATGACGTTAAAATCATCTTTGATCAGYAATTGGTTCTTCATAGGAACTCCCCACCAATCAGCTTCCTGGGTTATACTCGTCTTGACTACGAAAAAAAGAGCATTTCACATGAACCTCAAAGTTTTTGCTAAAGTGTGACATCATTGCTTAATAAAGTGACGTCATTGTCGACTGGTTTTAAAATGGCCGTCGTTCTTTTGGTATTTYATTGTAAGTTATTCAAGAGCTTATGAGCGAGAAAATCCTCCAAGTTGGTGATCTACTGTTGGTTTAAGTACAACTATAACAACTAAGAGAAATATCGAAGAAGACAGTTATATGTACTMACAGGTGAAACCAGCAAATCCGTGGATAATGACAACAGTAGAGCGTGAAGCATTGAAATGTGAGTTCCTTATGGCTTGGATGTCATTAACCCATTCACCGCGATAAGCTGTTTGTCTGGTGAACAGTAGGAACCTGGTGGAGATAGCTGCTGGTGATTCAGGTAGAGGGATATGCGTCCTGTTGAACGGGTACTCKTTTGAAAAACAACCAAACAAATCATAACAGACGGAAGGTTCCTGACCTGAAACAACATCAACAAAAACCGATATAAGCTTCCTATTTTAGTCGCGCACAAAGGATTCTGGTATTCATGTCATGTGACTTTCGAAGCAAGTACAACTAGATATCAAGTGTTGAGAACGACGTTACTAAACAATCGTGTTTCCTAGGCCATGATGCATTGCGAGCGTGCGAATCTTTTGTGTGGCAAGTTCTTCGATATTACGAGTCCTAAGACAAAGTGTAACACCACATATAGGTCAAACATGCGTGACCTTTTGTGTGATACGTTCTTCATGTAACAAGTGATTCTTACAAGTGTTTTACAAGGAGGTCATAGTGATGTCAAGACTCGATTCATGGGATAATGCGARTGACTGTACTCGGTGAGATATGATGACAGGAAACAGGAAATATAATAGAGTAGATTTGACTGAATGCCTCAGTCTGTTTGCAGAGCAGAATCAACAGAAATACTAGGAACAACACAGCATCGATATCAGCGAACGTAGTCTTTTAGCGCCGATTTACTTATAGTCCTAATAGCAATACATGATAGAATGCAATTAAGAAGTTGGCTCTAGAATATTATACTACACATGCGCCCCAAAGACATTCAGAAAAATAGACCCAGAGTAAAGAGGCGCGTAGGAGTATTGCCAGAAGCAAAGTGGACCATATCAAGTGAGGATGGCAAATGGAAAAACGTTACACAATTACTCTCAATAATGATACAGCTTCTCATTAATCCCATATAGGTAACYGTCCAATTATTTTCTTAATTRGACAGGTCTGTTGATATGGGATTAATTAGRCAGCTATATAATTAATAGGTAATGGGATTTCATSCTCYMCAATCAAGAAATAATTAGACTCGAAAAATTCCTCTGACTGCCAAAYAGGACTCGGCCTACGGCCTCATCCAATTTTGGAAGTCCTCGGAATTTYCTCGTCCAGTTATTTCTTAATTGGACAGCATGAAGTCCTATTACATATACTAATTTATTGTATCATCACCACTGATGTCTCGGGGTACTTCAATGGGATTGTTCTTCTAGAATAAGTACTGAGGTGGGCGCTATTATACCCGGCGTGATGGATAGCTTTAACAGTAGGGTTCTTATTGTGCTATTGCTTTCTTTCGATTTTTCTTTAAAAGAGCTSGTATGTTTAAATACAGAATCACTGTAATCGGTCTAATAACGATAACCTAGATCGACATAAAAGAGCAGACATCATAGAGTATGAACGAAGACCCGACTTCTTTGTTCATGACCAACGAAGAATACACGGTGTTCTTGCAAAAGGAATTTTAGTAAATGATTAAATCAAAATCATGTGTGATAGCGTTTTATAAGATGGATGAAAAATGTGTCATTTTTTTAATCTTTACATAAACTAACTAGTGACGCGTGTAGAATCCTTGAGGCAAAATGCTAATTTGATGTGATTCTTGATGACTACAACAGCGACGGCTTTACTGCATGATGAGGTGAWTTAAAGCACGAAAGAGCCTAGCTCACGGTGTTTACGTGTCTAATGCGTGCARTAAAGGATATACAGGGAACAGAGGAGTGCAAGAAACACTATGATTCGCGTACAACAAAAGGTCACCTAAAGTGACAATTATAGTAGAAACTTATGACAAGATAGTTGGGTTGGATTACTGTTGTACAATGTCATGACTTTATTATCACTGGATGGTGCATACTGACCAGCTTGGGGCCGGACGGGATCTTAAGATAACTTAAGATATTTTAATAGTAGGCAGCAGAGTAGGAAAACACTTGACGAAAATTGTCGTAAAATACAGGAAAATCGCTTACCTTTCACATCATCAAATCCTAAAATTGTGAGGATAGCAAGACCACAGAGTRGTAGACTTCTGATGCTTCGCGTCCAACCACAGCGACATGACATGTTGTAGTATTAAATCTACTGTGAATTAAATGAGGCAGCAATTAATAACATTTTACGACGTGCCTCAAACTTCAAGAAAGCTAAATCCTTGCACTGATTTCAGTATTTTACCAATGAGCTATGAGATAAAATCATGGCTATGTACTTACTGGTCTGTTCACTGAGTTGGGGTCTGTCAGTCGATCAAGTCTGTAGTTGATATACTCCACTGCACAAACACAGTTGATCTTATTAATATTCTGGGTATTCCAAACATGTACTCATCAAGTATGGTGCATCCTGGTTTGGGGCTGTTGATGACTGGAGTGGTTTACGGATAATGTTTTCCGAGGACAAATAAAACACTTCAAGGGCTGTTGGTTTAGATTAATCACGAACCCAAACAACGTCTAGAGCAGCAGGAGAAAGGTTGTCGTTTCTTAAAGGTCTTTTTATAGAAGTATGTGACCTTTTGCCATCGATATTTTGGCGATCAGGATTTTCGCCCTTCCCGAATTTAATACGCTACAAAAATGGTTTAGATTAGCTAGTGGAATTTTGAAAATGGAWGAAAAACAAGCCCGTTTACCACTCAAATGGTTACAACTTTATAAATTCTTCTGAAAAAAAAATACTGCTACAAGCAACTTTTTAAACTTCGGAACCGATTTATTCAGAGAATCAGCTTGAAAGCGAACCGTGCAGCCTACTAATTTTGTTTTTAGACCTAATAACATCAAGTATGCCTTTTCCCCAGCAAGGTCTTCTCACTATTTGCACAGGATGTGCGACAAACCGCCAACAGCAGTAGCGGTTTGTACCTGGTGTTTATGGAAGGAAGTAATGAAACTAATAGGTAATCCCGTTAATAGTGTGATAAAACTAATTAGTTAATGAATTGAAATGCTGATAATGACCCTATAGCGGATGCCTAGTATTAAAATTACACATTGTATTCAAACAATGAGGTGAACTTMCCGTTACGTGGATCACTTGTTGCAGTATTAATAACAGGAAATTTGCGCACGTTCCCCAAGTTTTTCCTTTGTATTTTTACCTTGAATAGAAGGAAAAAGAGGAATTATGCCACTTCATAGTTTTTTAAAACAAATTATCTGTAAATTCATGAGTTTATAAAAATTGACTAATTTGCTAGATCTTTCYGTCACACTTCAGAAGGAAGGCTTCTCCAAGCATGCGCAAAAGAGAGCGGTCACGTTCACTCATGATTAGAAAGGTCTTCTGTTGTCTCACAGTCAGTACCGTCGAGTGTATGATAGTATCATTTGGTAGAATAGAGATAGCTGCGCGTATTTAGTGTATAAAAGGTCAATATGTAATCTAAATGAAKACTTCACTAATGTGATGTTGATGATGTGCCTTTTTATGATATTGTGGTTATACTGAGTAGTGTTAATAATCTATTAAATGGAAAGATGTAGTGCAAATCTCCTTGCGTCTAGTGATGCCTATGATTACTAGCCAAAGTGGCACGACTTATAATTGAAGTTTATACAATAAATGGAAGCACGTGTAGAGTTGCCCTCAGATAGAGTTGCTCTCAAGCTGCGTTTAATCTGTAGATGATACTCGACGCCTCAAGGTGTTGGATCTGGTTAGCCCTAGGTCCCTAAGGGACAAGGTACTTTTAGCACAGAACCGTCTGTGATTGATACATATTATTTATCATGATGACCCAATGCCTGGCCAATTGCCTGTTCCATTTGATGTGCGCTATTGATATATCATGATCAAGTACACATACAACTGTGATACAACTGTGTCGTGGTGCAACTTAGTTTTAACGGGTTGAAATTTAAGACAAATTCCTGAGTTTCTAAAATCTTCTCTTGGCCTCCCGATTTGGAACACTACCTTCCTCTTGGACGCGCGATGTTTAACAGTTGAGAATGGCACACGCCTAACAGGAAGTTGTAGGATTTCCGTCGTTACATGTGAGCTGATTAACACGAACATTTATTACTTTCCTTGTGGACGTAAAACTCTTCTTTACTGACAGTTATTATGATTAATCTCCGCTTGGCAGGGGGTTTTTCCGGCATAACGGATGTTAATGATGGTACACACGGGAAATGGATCGCTCATTTACGCATTGGTATTTGGATAGTATGAATAGTGACAATACCGTATGTTTCCCAGTCACTAGAAAATTTGATTTGTCATTTGGAGTGCACGTGAAAATATTCCAAAAAGTTTGACAATGGGCAAGACAATGGGCCTGAACAATGGGATTAGAGATGTTAAGCGAGGACTTCCGATAGATGAAACTTTATGAGTTCCATTACAGTAAAGGTTCTGAAAACATCTTTATATACTTGAATGAATAGACCGAGCGCGAAGAGGTTAGTTGATGGTGAGCAAACCAATGACAGACAAAGAAGAACRAAAAGAAGAAGAAGAAGACAAGACTAGAAAAAGTAAAAGAAAAAAGAGTATAGGTGTACTAAACGATGGCCCATTTCTCACTGGTTTTTTTTTTTTTTTTAATTTTTTTTTCTCACTGTACATGATACAAATATGATTTGCACAAATATACTAGCAGCGCGTATAACGATAATATAACGAGCGATATTACTGAATAAGAGGTCAACAAATGTAATGATTTAGACTGACATTAACCCTGTACGCGTAAGGAAAAATGACTTTATTGCGGTTCTTTAGGCTGTTATCTGAAAACATTTTGAAAGTAAGTAGTGCTAAAGCAGTTCTTGGCCCGATAGGCACTATCTTATGGGGCACTGAGCGAAGGTTTATGATGCATAGGCCGGGCAGGGATTAGTATGAGAAAAAAGTCATTTCAGTCACTGTATTTGTACCAGATCTTCACATCTCCATTTGGGTTCAAGAACAACCATCTCTTCTTGTTCTTCGCCTTCAAATTGATCTTCTGGTTCTAGCACGACTTCAATGAGTTCATATTTTCCTCTCTGTTCACATCCAAAGTCAAACGTATATTTCCCTCTTCCTTTTGGTAGGTCCTGCTGCATAATACCGGTGTAACGGTGATCTGTATGGATCAACTCACCAGCCCCCTCCATACGGCCATTCACCCACGTCCCTTTATACTTTGAGCCAGTCTCTGCATATGTGTACACGCCCTGACCATGACGCTGATTTTGGGACCATTCTCCTTCATACGTATCACCGTTAGCATAGTAATAAGTGCCCTGACCGTGCCTCTCGTCGTTGATCCAGAACCCTACGTATTTGGTTCCGTCGGGGTAAAAAAATGTTCCCTCGCCATGCTTCTTGCCATTGGCGTAGTTCCCGACGTATTTGCCTCCCTTTTTGAACCTGGAAATAAATCAAACAATGATAAAATTCTTTTTCATTTAACTTCGATCTTTTACGAATTGAATCAATTTAGTATCAGTAAAAATATATAGCCTGTCATTGAATGGAAGGGACACCACAACAGCTTTCGCCAATTATAGTGGGTTTGTCAGTCACAAATTGAGAAGAGACCTATTCCGTCTACACTCTTGAATTTTGTAACGGAACAATCAGTATGTCACTCAAAATCTGCAAAGTGGTGTGAATAGGCTCTTAGGAATACTTGCAGTATTGTAAATCGTGTTGACAAAGAAGACAAGAAACAGTCAAGCATCATTTATCACAGCTTTTTTCTCTCCCAGCTGAGGTCATGGCTCAAGGCTCTGCATTGGAGATTGTTGTGTTTTTTTTGTAATTAGTGCAATTTAGAGCAATTCAACTTGTAGCGATGAGCAATAGTTTAGTCGGCTTTTCCTTTTCTTCTTTCCTTTCTCTTCTAGGGCTATTTTCACTGCTCATCAAGACTGTTTCTCTCAGCAAGTTGCCGCGACGGGTCGTATCTCAGGAAAACGGTACTATTTGGCGCACACGTCACCTGTCTGTTTTTAAGTCACCAAGATCATTAACAAGACTATTTCTGGCAGCTAAGCATGAAGAATATAAGCGTAGGAAGTCGTATTGTTGACTGATTTTTTTATACACTAGCTGAACGGATGTTTCAAAATAAGTTTCAAAAAACCTTTGACCAATTCATTAGCATCCCTTGCCGGGCTTGACCAAAGAATTCTAGCGTTATTTATTGATATTTATAATGCTAAACTAAAAGCGGATTAGTCCCTCCGCCAAACAACGGGAGCCAAATCGGATTGATTTAAACATACTTACTTGTACGTTCCTTGACYATGTCTTTTACCGTGCACATACTGTCCTTCATAAACGTCACCATTAGGTAGAGTAGCTTTCCCTTTACCATGTCTTTCTTCGTCTTCGTTTCTTTCTCCTTCGTATTCACCCAAATACAATCCTTCGTCCTCCACCGACTCTTCCTCTGAATCAGACATTGGCTGTTCTTGAGAAAATTTAACAACCATAAGAAAAGACTGAAAAACTTCGATCGTAATAAACTGAGCCGGTCGGCGGTCGGCTTGATGGAGTGTGAGTTAAAGTTTGTTCGGCAATGAAGAAACTGCTGTTTAAATTTTGAGTTTATAAACTGTGCAGTTGTTATGTGTTGTTTCTAAGGAATGAAAACACACTGAATATGAATTCATGAGCGTCAAAAATGTGTAAATAAGAAAAAGATGTTGATTGGACGAGAAGACGACATGAACAAATAATGCGTAACATCACAATGGCTTCCAGAAGCAAGTTTATTGACTTTAGGATTTCTTTCATTTGCATAAGCTAGACAAGGCTACTGCACGGCCATCCTAACTCGACGTCATCGTATAATCACGGATTATCTTCGATGATCATTAAAAAAGGCTTTTTTCAGATCTACTAAGTGCTGGATGTGGTCTTAAYGTGGCTTGCTGCCGGGACAGTGGACCAACGCACAGATCCTGACCACAATGCTATAAAAAGAATAAAAAAAGGAAAACAACCCCTAAACCCCTGTATTTTATTAGTCAAAAATGTTTTACATTCTTTAGGGTTTTGTGGAGACCTACTTTAATCTATAACTGTTACCATATCTGCCTATCTGTTRTAATATTACTCTTGGAGTTCCTGTGGTATATGGTTCAGCGAGGGACTGCGTAATTGCTTAGCAACCGGTTAATATTACCATCCAAGATGGCGGACGAGCAACAAGAAGCTTCTCTTGTCTTTATTCCATGAATTCTTTGCAGATAACGTCCGTTAATAAATAGGTATGTAATGAAATAAGGATTTTGAAGATTAAGGTAGACATTTCTATTACAGCCTGCAGGTATTAATCATTTGAGTCAAAAAGAAAACTGGAAAAAATGAGCTCAATAAGGCACTTATGACTTTATAGTTCCCTAGTTTAGTAGTGGTATTTGCCCAACTTAACTTAATTTTTTTATCAGTCTTCMCTTCTCCCAAACGACTTGGATGGTCTATTAAAGTATGTCGTACTTTATCTCTCACTTGTTACAACCAAAATAAAATGTAACTCTTATTTCGTCACTTGTGGTTCCAAGATATAGAAAAGACTTCGACATTTGTTTTTACCATTACAAGAAGTGTGAACATGCAGTCCAGGGCTCGTTTGCTTCTTGAAAAGGAACAGTTTAAAATGAAGAAAGATCCAGTATGGGTAAGTCATGTAGTATTTCTAAGAACAATCTAAGAGTAATATGTTGAGTCTATAGGGTTAAATGTTCTGATATCGAATGAACTACAGTACTGTATTCTTGTTTCAGGGAATAACAGCACAGCCTCTTAACGAAGATGACTGGTTCACATGGGAAGCAACTGTTAAAGGACCAAAAGATACTCTATGGGAAGGTATGTGTTAGCATCATAGAGCAGTATGTTTATGTATGACTGTAAAATGCTCATGGTACAAACACGGTCTTCACACAGCAATGCATACGCCAGCCCTTTCAATTTATTGATATATTTTAATGTTTCGACTTTCAGGTGGAATATTCAAGCTATATTTACAATTTAATGAAAACTACAATTGTATTCCTCCAAAGATATATTTCCAYACTGTGCCTTTCCATCCTAATGGTGAGTATAATCATCAGCCAGCCTACTTTAGACTTGCTGTCCTAACTGTGGTGAATGTGTTTGTAACAAGTCAACAGAAAAAAACCTGGAAATAAATATAAGGCACAGTTAAGGAGAACTTTCTCCTCCATGATTCTCTCTCAGCTATCCTCCTCAATCATACATTCAGAGATAAGAAGGTACATTGGATGCAAGAAGGGATTACAGTGAAAGCATGTTTACATGATTACATATGAAAGGGAGTCACAGAGAGGATTGAGAAGGAGGAGGAGTAAAAATGTGTAGGGATGGAGAGGGGGGTGGATGCCTAGGGTTTAGAGGGTACTGTAACTATGTTTCTTATTTACAAGCAAATTAGTATCCTTTTTTTAATATGATTAACTATCATTACAAGCTATTGATGGATAAATATATTATCTTCAGTCGATCCAGTGTCAGGGATCCCATGTATAGATTTCCTGGACAATCAAGAGGAATGGAAGGAATATTACTCCATTAACTACATGCTACTAAGTATACAAATGATGTTGTCCAACCCAATCCTGGACTACTCTGTGAATGTAGAAGCTGCCAAAATGTGTCACATTGCTCCTAGTGCTTACAAGCAGATGATACTGGAAAATGTTCTGGCCAGTAAAAGAGTTGATGGTAGGTTCAGCTTATGTGATGCCATTAGGATATTACCTTTRAGGATGTACAGCAATGATTCAATAGGGAAACAAACAAACAAAAAAAAACATTATGCTCCAAATAGACCTTATTAATTGTGGTGCAAATATGTTTTCCAATTACAAAGGCCCTATRGGGGGAGGGGGGTACCTATGTCCACAGTCTAAATTTCACGACTGTCTATGTTGCGATTTCAGAAGGTTCTTGTGTTATTTGGATGACTTTACCCCTRACAGGGCATCACTTTTGATAATTCATTAGAGTAGACTGTCATTGATCTCTTGTTTGTGACTCTCATGTTGTTGTTTCAAGGCCATCTCACTTGTTTGACTTTACCCCTAACAGGGCCTCATTACATATATCATTCCTTTGTTTCATCTTTGTGCATGGGAAGACATGTGAATGTAGATACAATTCAAACAAAAAAATCTGATTCTCAAAGGAATAATGAGATCAGTAATATGAAAACATTGAGCCCAAGCTAAAGGGGGCTAATGTTGTCTGGTTGAAACTAGAGCAACTTAAGCAATGACTAAATCTGGATTTAGAACTTAATTCTCTTTGTTAATCTGTCGTTCTTGGTGATACATATGTGACTTGACTTGATTATTTACTTTTTAACTCTTTCAGCTGGCTTGAAGCCACATTTGGAGAATGAAATTGAAGTGACAAAACCTGAGAAACAAGAACAACCGGCTAAAAACACGGAGCAAAGTAATAAACGACTTCAGATTGCCAAGATATCATTCGATGATTATCATTCTCTTTGGAGTGGTATAGCAACCACTAGACCTGTACCAAGCTCTAAGAACCCACTCAATGAAATGTTGAAATCTGATTCAAAGCTACAAGCAGCTCACTTTGGAATGGAGCAGGAAGAATTACAAGAGGAAATAAAAAAACAAATAGCTGAGCATAATTCACTCACGTATGGAAAATTTGATCAAAGCACCGAAAAAGCAAAGGATTTAGAGGAGTTAAAAGCTACTAGAATCAATATGCTCAAGCAAATTTATCTTCCAAAACACCAAGGTACACTTTACAACACTTTATTTTGTCTTATTTTAGTACATATATTACCAGACTTATCATTTTATTCAACAAACCACATCCCTGTTTCTAGTACCCACTCATCTTTTGCATAAAATTTGGTTGAGGGGCACTACTAGGAATCAGGATGGGTTTTGGATGGTAARACTTTTCTCTTTTGGGCTACCTGTGGCTGCTGGAACCCCTAATATTAAAATYGTGCATCCCACACTGCTTAGTTTTCTCCCTCAAACAAAGTTCTTGCTTACCATTTGTATTGAATTCAATGTTTACCCCTCCCCCTCAGTTAGTTATGTTAAATCTTACGCAGATCTATTTTATCAATGTTAAACCAGGTCAAGATAAATCTACTCAATCTCTTGAGCCTTCATCTGCATCATTATCAGCATCAATACCAAAAGAGATCGAGCCCTCAGAACAGGAGGTACAAGACTTATTAAACTGGTCTAGTAACCTTGGCAACAATGATGTAGCATTCTCATGAAGWTATGTGATGAGATGTTCAGGTTACCATGGCGATAATATTATTATGGGACATAGTAACACCTTATAATCATGATGATAACCATAGCAACAAGTACTGTACATTACATTTGTGGAGTTCCCATCATTGGTTAGGTAACATCAAAGACCCAACGATCCTCATACATTAAAATGGGTCATAACTTTGTATTTTGAAATATACTGTATATAGGTTTTATTACTGTAGATATATGTGTAAATACTTTAAATAAAGCCATCATTTAATAGTGTCTTTCAGTAATGTCAAGACTCCATTTGAGCATCATGTCATATCTTTAGTATGAAACGTATAAGCTGCCAGTTTCCTCTGATTTATAGAACTCCTGGCTCCATATTATGATGGTTAGTATATGCTATCTTTTTGTATAGCTGCCCAGTGGGTTGTCGTAACTATTATCATGGAGGGTTTGTATAGGTTGTTATCAGTATATARGTGTTGAACCAGTGTGTAATGTGTCATTGGTGTATGTATAATCAGCTATGATGAAGGTTTTGTAGAGGTTGTAATCAGTATATGTGTGTCATATTAGTGTGTAAATCTGTGCTCATGTATCGACAGTGTATGGTGGGTCATTAGTATATGCTGAAGAATGGTCAGTATTCCAGTGCACATCATCGTACATCTTCTCTAGYAGAGTTCTCAACATGCTGGCATGATCTCTGTCTCTTACTTCAGCCACAACTTTACACTAGAAATTTAACAGTATATAATAGCAAATTTAAATTCAGGTATATATAATTATTATTGATCATAAATCCTATAAATAAACAAGCATGCATCAATAGTTATAGACAGAATAAGTGTACATTGGTGTTTGTGGGGGTGGGGTGGGTAAGGGCATGTTGACCCACAGCCTAAATGTTATTTACCTGTACTTTRAAGGCACTACTTTTCAACCAAGCTCTCTCGTGAAACATGTCTTTAATGCTAAGATTTAAGGAAATAATGCAAAATAAAAATAGGACATAACAATGTAATGTTCCACGATTTTTCTTTTTTTCATTTTCTCTTTCTCCTTGTTTTTCATTTCTTTTTGTTTTCCTTTTCTTTTCTATTCTATTCCATTTCTTTTCTATAATCCTTTTCAGTATTTAGCTTAGAGATTCATTGATTTGAGAACGTATTTAAAATTTCACATTGGATTTCTTCACGTACCTTGCCCCAGATGAAGCTAAAACATTGACAAGTCTATCAATACCACCGGGTCGATCACTGACTGTCACAATAAACCGTACCAGCCTACCGTCAGTAGCTAAACCCCTGTCTATACATCTACCAACTACAGCTGGATCGATGTTACCTCCACATAAARGGATTACAACCCTGCAAAAACAGTAGTGGTGAATGCGTTACTATCAATCTTAGCGTCACGCAATACGAAAGTCGCGCTAAAATGTTTTAGTCCATCTAAACTTTAAAATAAGAACTTTAATAGTGAAATATGAATTTCTTGGATAGAAAACCAAAAAATAATTAGATAACTAACCTTTTAAAGATGGATTTAACCTTTCCATATAAAAATAGATAAATAAATCGCATTGTTATTGTTACCAGATCACTCGTGTTGTGATGATAAATATGAAGTGATTTTATAAAAATTTAATTATTTCTCAAATAATAATAATAATTYATTATCGTACATACGCTTTTAATTAGAAATTGAAAATATTAGAGAAGTTAAAAACCGGGCACGAGTTATCAAAAGGATCTGTACTATTATAACACACTCCAGATCAACCCGGGCCTTTGTAGCTCAGTGGTTAGAGCACTGGTCTAGTAAACCAGGGGTCGAGAGTTCGAGTCTCTCCAAAGGCTTACTTTTYGAATCCTCAGAAAATAGCATGCAACCAACAAATCCTCTTCTGAACTGTTTTAAAAGTAGCCTAACTTTTTGTGGCTCAAATTCTAAAAGTAATCTTAAAATAATTTGTCATATATACCTTTTACCACTGAGTTCTGGTAGTTGACCAGAGAGAACAGCAGCAAAGCCAGTCGCTCCAGCTCCTTCAACAACAGCCTTCTCCATCTCTATTAGGTAAAGGATAGCAAGACCTATGTAATCCTCACTTAAAAAGAAAAAAAGTTGGAAAATTAGTTGATAAAAAAAGTTCGGATAATGTCACTTGTTCACCACAGGGATGTCCACGACAGCACAGCATGTTCGGGATTCGGGATTCGGGATTACACTGTAATGTCATACAGATACTCGAAACAACTTATTATAGCGTGYATGCGACTACTGAGCCGTTTCTTAGCAACCATTCATTGTATACCTGACGGTGATAATTTTATCCACCAGATCTTTCGAGTTAGCAAACGCAGAGGTTCCCACCTGAGGTACACACAGACCTGGAATTGGAAAAAAAAAAAAAAAACACAAGCCGGCAGACTTTCTTAAAGTCCCTCCTACCAAGGCAAGAGACTCACCTCATTATGTTTGAGCGAGGAGAGGAGAGGAGAGGAGAGGAGAGGAGAGGAGAGTTGAACTTACCATCAGCTAATGTCTCTGAATGATGCGCATCTACCTTCACGGGTTTTCCTGCTTCCATGGCTGCCTTGAAGCTGGGGCAACGCTCAGATTCCACGGCCTTTTTCAACAGAAAACCATTAAAAATGTCGTTAAAATCGTTGATTTCATTTTTGTTTCCAATGATTGCTGCTTGAATTATGGCAGCTGTTTTTATGACTTTTACTCTCGGATCCTGTGTATATTAACGATGACAATCAATATTATACTAGAATAGCCGGAAAAGTTGTTCACTTACAATAATTTTGACATGAGGGTAGACGGTCTTGACAGCCTTTGCTATTCCTGCTAGCATCCCCCCTCCCCCAACGGGTATAATAATGGCATCAAGTGGGTAAACTTGATCGATGATCTCAAGGCCAATGGTTCCCTGGCCGCTTATTATGTGTGGATGGTCGTAGCTGTGAAGAAAGGTAATACTCTCAATTGATTATGGTTACTATTAGAGATATTGCTTGGAATGGTTCGCGTCCGGGATTAAACCTCTTATGCTTGGGTGTAATGTTTTTCCACTCGGACCAGGTGAGATTCAAGTAACTAGAGCTAGTATCATCTTTTTTTCCAACGGTTGCACATGAGTAGACACATGAATATGGATACAACTAAAACAAAAAATCTTACTCTCAAGAGAATGACACGTAGTCTGAAATGGTCAAAATTACACCCAAGTCAAAAGGGACGTCTATATAATCCTTTTCACCGGCTCCGTCAAGTGGACTTACCCATTATATGGACTTACCCATTGATGTAGACCAAGCCTTTTTCACGGGCCATAAGCAAGGCRTTTTCCTTAGACTAACCAAATGACATTCAGTTAGTAATATACTAGGGGCTAAGAACTTATCCTCACTACCCTTTCTTGCTTAAAATGCGTCCTGTGACGGGAAGTATCCGCAAATTTTTGTGTCCGTATCCGCAAATTTTACGAAAACGGATAAGTGTGGACGGTGAAAACGATTCGAATACGCTGCGTGTGGACGCAAACATTTTCGTATCCGCAAAAAAATAATTTGCGGATACAAAAATTTCCGTGGACGGGGCCTAAGTCACAACAACGTGTAGCATCCATTACTAACTACAGTACTAATACCTGTGGATAATACGATAGGAAGATTATGCGAGCTTTATCATGATATTAGTCGTAATATTATATTGGAGGGTATGAAACGTCTTCGCTTCTCATTGGATGTATTCATGATCAAACAAATCTTTTTCCGAAAGACAGAGAAAAGGATCATTCCTACTGACCTCATACAAGTTGTGTCCTTGAAGCAATATGTTAGCTCCATATGATCTACACATCGTTTGTTTGACTATCGGTGCATTCTCAGGCATGACGACTGTCACTGGTATCTGTAGGGCGTGGCCGTGGTATGCTAAGGCTAGGGCGTGGTTACCCGCCGACGCCGCAATCACACCTCGACGCTTTTGTTCCTGAGGACCCAAAGGTATTGAGGACATAAGTTACMAACAACATCGATAAATGGTCTTCAAAAAAGCTTACCTCACTTAAAAGAAGAAGTGTGTTAAGAGCTCCGCGCTCTTTGAAACTAAAACAGGTAAAAGAGCAATCATTAAAAAGTTCAAATACTAAAATCTCGCAAAGTTTCGAGCAAACCAATAGCGCTGAAAAAAGAAGGGCGGGTATGATGTGTTCTCCTCATCTTACCTTCCCGTGGGGTGAAGATATTCTTTCTTGAAGAAGATGTCCATATCTGCGACTTCAGAGTTCGAAATGCTTGCTTTCTGTTATTAAGATAAGCGACAAAATGTTTTAAATAGAAATTGTTGAGTTAACACACGAAGAGAAATTTTAGCTGGTCTAATGCTAGCAGCGCGCACTTGTATGATTTAGTTAARAATTTTCACAAATGTGACAGCGGGAGCAGGTTTTTCAGGCACGAGCCATAGTGGTAACCATAGTTGAAGTTCTAATGAGGTTTCTAGAAAATAATAGATGAAGCAGTGTGCTCGCGCCGTCCTATGGATTCCGTRCCTTTTTTGTAAAATTTATATATAGAAGATAGAATACAATCGCTGAATTGTGCAAGCAATGATCATGTACCTCACAAGGGGTTTTGGCAACTCCTTTACAAATACGAAATGCTGCTGCACATATATCCTCAAAGCTTATAGGAACAGGTTCCTCTGTGTCTCCCTTGAGTGACATCTTTTGAAGGTGAGCCCTTAATTCATCTGACTTCGACACGGATGTCACAGGATCAATAAATTGAATCGTCTCCTTCTTTCCATCTTCTTTTGGCGGAGCCATCTTTTAATAATGTTCCTTTTAACTTAACACGTGCACGTGATTGATGACGTAATATTCAATTGTCATGGAGATATTCTTTGTGACGTACTTTTATTGTTCTTTCTGAATTTAATCCTTTTCATCAATGACCTATATCATTTTCACATGACGGCAAATACCGCCATATTAGTATGCCTATGAGAAAAAACTTTGTCATTAATTTCTTTTTTTTTTTTGATACATCGAAATGGCTACCATTTCTATTGTCCCTTACATCTGTCAGGACTGCGTGAAAACGATCTATATTAAGTAAGAAGATTAAAAGAAATCGATTTTGCAGTTATATCACCATCATTATATGTTTTTTCAATTATAAAATGTCCAAATAGATCATTTTTGGCCAAAAAGCATGGACTATAGCCCATGGTTTTGATCGTTTTTGGGTGTTTTCACACCTTTTTCAAAAATATGCATTATTCATAAAATGTTCAAAATGGGTCATTTTTGGCCAAAAAACATGGACTATAGCCCATGGTTTTGATGGATTTGGGGTGTTTTTCATACCTTTTTCAAAAACATGCATCATTCATAAGATGTTGAAAATGGGTCGTTTTTGGCCAAAGAACATGGACTATAGCCCATGGTTTTGATGGATTTGGGGTGTTTTTCACACCTTTTTCAAAAATATGCATTATTTATAAAATATTCAAAATGGGTCATTTTTGGGCAAAAAGCATGGACTATAGCCCATGGTTTTGATGGATTTGCGGAGTTTTTCACACCTTTTTCAAAAACATGCATTATTCATAA